AATGGAGGAGAGAGAGATGAGCTCTGGTTTGTTTCGGTATGACTGAACCATTTGAGAAGAAGGATTACCGTTGGAGGCCAGGCCAATGGGTATTTATACCCTTAAGGGCCCAATAGTCTGTTATGGGCAGCATTGTCGCCTTTCACCAAAACTTGACAAGGATAGACAACAGAAAGTATGGCTGTTTTGGTTAAAAGAGGAAGTTCACGAGTGGGGATATGAGCACTTAGTTCACAATTTAATGAAGTCATTGAGTCCCCTTGATAGTACGACTTTCCTATACTCAATTTTAAAATATAAACGAATTTAAAACTCCTTTGAGCTAGGAACCATCACCATTTGCAGTTGGGGCTCCTCCATCATATGAATCATCCTCCTTTCATCATTCCCCGCTCATCATCTCGATAAATTATTAGACCTCTAATTTGGTGGTCATTAACGCAAAACCACATAGGGCTTGATTGTACTTACAATCTCCCCTTTTGGTGATTGATGACAACCCAATTAGAGCTTACAAAATATATGAAATATAGACCGAGAACTTATCAAGCCATGAATGTAGGGCCTCCCTAAAATATGTGAATATGGATTTGAATTTCTAATTTGGCATAAAGGCCAAAATTCATATCTTAGAGTGTGTAGGGAGCCTCCCCCACATCCATGCCTCTTGTGGTGTCACGCAAAGCGTGTGGTCGATATATCATCGGATGCATATGACGCTTTATACACAGACAAGGTCTAAGCTAGAGTAGCATAGGCGACTTTACTGCCGCCTCAAGCTAAATCAATGATTACAATCAGTGTTCACACATCATAAACTAGATATCTAAAAGTACTTCTAGCACAAATATGATAAGCTAAAGCAGTAACCAAGATACATGTCCATGTTCGATACAAAAGAGTCAAATAGGTAGCAATATTATAAATAGAGTTTTCAACAACTCTAACTCACAACCTATCAAACTAACAAGCTGTAATTCTCGGAGGATAGGACAAGAAGAACTGCAGAAAGCATCGAGAAAAAATTGACCCCTCTAATTTTCTCCCCTTGGCATCAAGTACCAAAAAGTGAAGCCAACTCACTCCTCGTCTAAAAATCGGCGGATGAAACCACAACACGCCCCGCTTTCGGTGAGTGGTAGAAGTGAAGCATGTCGAGTGTGTAGAGCGTCATGATGGAACTGCAGATAGTAGAAGGACCTACACCGCTTTGACTCGACTCTAGTAGAAAGGTATCAAGGTCTCTCAAGATCGGATCATCATAACTACCAAACAAGCTCGCTGCTCCTCTTACTCACTAGTGTCACCACGATCATCACCATTTTCATCATCTCGTGTATCAAAGATTGGGCAAATTGTAGACCGGTGGAGGTGGTACAGGTGGAAGAGTGGGAAGAGTGCTGTCCTCTAAGCTCTCTCTCTCGCTCACATTGAGTATCATAAGCCCTCTCACCAGATATGAACACTTCCCTAAAGATGCCTTCATCCAAGAACCAATCTCCTCTTCCAAGATTCCTCCTCCTAGACCTAGAGCGGGACCCCTCAGGTAAATCCTCATGAGCAAATGAGCTGCCCGCCCTATGAGTAGGTGCCTTGCCCCCTCCCGTGTCTTCTTTGATCTTGTAGGTTTGGTGGAATCCATCCTTGGGATATATAAGGCGGTGACTCTCTCAATCATGAACATGAGATAGGGAGCATAAAGGCAAGTCCTTCTCCCATCATCCATAGCAAAGACAAGTTCTACCCACATAAACCTCGGCACATTGAACCTCTCACCATCATGAAAGTGAGACAACACATTAGTAATGTATCCATTGAGATTAGTGGCATTGTGCTTTGGGTTGAGAGTGCTACTGATAAATTGTTCATGATGTAATAAAGCTCTTTCAAATTCGGTCCTCCTACCATTGGCCTTATTCGATCCTCCCACACAAAGCTCACCTCCTGTGGCTCTGAGCATGAACTCTCATTGTGGATTCGAGGAGTAGGTTCTATACATACGCCCAAATCCAAGGATCCGGCCAGAAAGTGACAAAGTTCACTCTATAATGACGACCATCCATCATCCAATGTATCTCATGGTCTCCTTGTTCTAGAAATATGTGGCATGAAACTGAGCTAGGATCTTCACATTCCAATCATGCTTGAAAGACATGATGGTCGAAGCTCAAATCTATCACAGATCCACGATAGCAAAGTGTTGAATTCGGGGCTCTTCTTCTCTTGTAAGTCATCAAAGTCAATATATTGCATCTTGCAAATCTTGCCCTTCTAGCGATTGAGTATGGCTGTGGCATAGAAGTTTGAATAAAAGACATTCCAAAACCTATAGTCAACACCCATCACCTTTCCGGTGACATAGGGATCCATTTCTGGCCTCCTCGGTGCCTTTCCAACTCTTGGAGTAATCAATCAATCAATGGATGAGCCACTTAGTCGTGAGGAGCTCTCAACTCAAACACATCATGTCCTCATATAGGCTGTTGTCAAACCCTATAATGTCTTGAGAGGGTGTCGGGGCAGCCACCGGGAGAGATGGTGTGCCCTATTTGCCAAGTTTCTCTCTTACGCCTCAACATACCGCCCAGCATGTGCATCTTTATCATAAGGGAGGAGGTTTGTTGTACTCTGCATAATGCCCCTCCCTTACCTCATCGGGACAGGTACCTTAGTTAACATCTTCCTCTTCCCTCTTCCATCATCTCCTCCTTGCTCCATCCATGCAAATAAATAGGACTAGATGAGAAACTACAAGATGGAGTGTTAGAAAAAGGTTGCAAAACTGGTTTTTAACAGAAGAAAAGAAGTTAGTTAATGAACTTGGGAGACTTGTTGTTTTGAATATAGATTAGGCAGGAAGTAGGCACTTTGCCGCCTGAGATGCTCCACACTTTCATTTACTATATTCTTGTTCTTTTAAATCTAGTTTCTAACTACTTCTATCTCCACCACAATCGAGAATCAAAGTCTACAAATAGATCATGGTGACTTCTAGCCTTGGATTTGAAGAACTTTGCATAAAGAAATAGACCTACGGTGTTGGTGGATTGAGATCCAACCCTATTTGAAAGTGTCCTCAATCTAATGGGAGCTGTAGAATGGTTGATCTGCGAGATAGAGGCTGTATACAGCGCCCTATATACAATGCACAGCCATGAGGCCTACCCCGCCTCCATTGAGAAACGTCAAATCAGTTCAAATCGATCATTACCATTGCTTCCCTGCTTCTTCACACTATCCATAGAAATCAAAATCATTAGCCAAACCACCACA